AACTACTTCACAGTTAGGGCGGCTAGGAGCTGGAACCAACTTCCAAGGGAAGTGGTGCTGGCCCCTACCCTGGGGGTCTTTAAGAAGAGGCTGGATGCCTACCTGGCTGGACTCATTTGAGTCCCGTTTCTCTTTTTGGGATTTTTTGTTGTTCTCCCGCCCTGGCGGGGGATCGGGCTAGAAGATCTACTAGGTCCCTTCCGACCCTTAATCTATGAATCTATGAATCAATTGACTTCATGGATTATTATCATCTACCTGATCCCTTCCAAACTCCTCATTCCGCAGATGTTAATGACCTTCTCTTCTCTTAAATGGTCTTGGTGTTCCACCAATCAAGCTAGCATTTATTCTGCAATTCTGCTGTCCCTTAGCTGCTCCTGGTAATGAAACTCTTATTTCACAGCCCTGCAAATTGTTTTTAATGCATTCCAATGACATTAAATTTGTTTTTCCATTAATCTTAAGAGGAATAATACAGCCCTAGGTCCCTAGGCATATTAGTTAAACTTCTAGTTTCTTTTTAACTGGAGAAAAATATGTGAAGATGCACCTCATTATCTGAATTATCTCACATGGTTGAGTGGTGCATCTCATGTGGTGGATGGTGTTTGAGTCTCACGTGGATTGTGCTTCAACCAGCATGTCTCCATCCACCCTACAATCCCTGCTAGAAACTGAAGAAGGTCACATTAAGGCAGTCTCCAAGTATCTTACATGCTTCTTAAACAAAGAGCACTGTCCAAACATTACCCACTGTTAGTAAGAAGCCACAGGGCAGACAAGTAACTCCTCCAAATCTTCTTTGGGATCTCTTACAAAGAAGAGAGAGAAACCATGCTACTAGCATGAATCAGAACCTGAAGATAAATAGTACCAGACAAATCCAATAGCTGTGAAAGAATTAGTATGAATATCTGCTGTTCATCCACTGACAGAAGTTTCAGTCATGGATCCCAATATGAATACTCATGTAAGTAGTAGTAGTAGTAGCAGTTCCAGTGAAGTGAATGGCATTAATCATATCAATAAGTGCTCACTAGTGTGTATATATATGTTAAACAATCAGGCCCTAAAAGTGATCATTTAACATACTGTATTATAAGTGATGAAGAAGTCAAATAAGATTTGCTACATTATTTTTTAATCTCTCATTACAATTATTTAATATTAGAACATATATGATTAAAATTAAAATCCTCCATAAATGAAAAGTTATGCTTTTGCTTTGTTAAAAAAGTGAAGATTAATATTGTTCAAACACCAAAGAAATAAAAAAAAATAGCAACGAAAACACGCTGTAAATTTCAAACAGGATAACTTTACAGAGAACAATGAATTGCTTGGTAGATAAAGAAATTTTTATTGTATTATATAGTCATAAGTCAAAAGTTAAGTTCTGAAGATGGATATCATTCTTATCATCTAAGAGCTGTATGTATATAAAACAGCTATTTTATGGCTTATATATTAATTTGTTGTTTCAGTCCAGTTCCTCTCCAATAATACCAGCACACTAAGCTATGATTTCCACCAGTGGTTCAGCAGAGATAATAACAGCTAAAAGGGCATGAAGCATGAGTTGCAATCCCCTTTTCAGGTGGCTTCTCTGGGGTCAGGGTGAAGCACCTTTGTAGAATAGTGTGAAAAATTATAGATCACTTTTACCTAAGTAGGTATCTGCTCTGTTTCTATATACAGCACTCAATAGTCTATTACTCTTCACAGCCACTACAAATCCATCCAAAAACTATGAAAAGAACAATGCTCATTCATGTGGATATATAACAAACACCCTGGAGGGACTTATTAGTAATAAGTTATTACTAATGCAGTGAAATCAATTGTCACTGGTTTCAAAGAGAACAGATTATAAACCTAAATATCTTAACAGTCACAATGTTACTACCTCTGTTTGTTTACAGGTGTGTCTACTGTGCTTCTCACTGAACGCTCCCACATAAGACACTACATCACCAGACAGCAACATAGCATCAGCTGTCATGAACTTTGATGCCACAGGTACATCACCATAGCAATGCACTCCCCTGTTACAGCACATCACTACAACAACATAGTGGGGGGGGAAAAAAACTGTGCACAGCTGGCACAGCACAGTATGGGCTATTATTGTTCAGTAGTAACAATGGTGCCATACGGCCACATGTAGACGCACCCACTGTAGTAGCTGGTGTAGATAAAAGTATAATAGTCTAAATAGTATACTATTTAATGTAATCCTTTGGGGAGGGCATCACTTAAAACCATTTCATTTATATTTCAGTCGTTCCCTTTCTCCTTTGCTACTCTTCTTTCCTTCCCCACATCTTCACTTGGAATCCATCATTTTGATAGCTCTGGTCTTCTCTTTCTATTCAGTATCTTCCCTTCCTCTCAGAGTTTGATCCTTCCCTGCTGCCATAGTAGCTATCTGGAGCAAACCACCTGCCTCATTGACTTTCTATCCCTTTTTTAAAAAACAGCTCCATTTTTTCTGTGCTGCCTACAATGAGTTGCCACTTCGTGCCCACACTGATGTTTACTGTTAACAATCCATCATTTTTCTTAGTGAACTGTCCCCATGACATTCCTACTCTTCTTCCTCTAGTAACTTTCTCCATTGCTCTCAGCAATTGTCTCCTCCTCTTCTCTTCTCTAATAAACTCCCAACTATCAACCTTTTCTGCTTTATCCCGCTTTGGGCACATCTACATGTGTGCTTTGATGCATATTAGCCTAATTTAATGTGCATTAAAGCTTCACTGAAAAAAACTGTATTATATAGTTAACATGCATTAAATAGGCTAATGCTCATTAAGCATCACTTAAAAACTGTGGGCATTTATACACATGCTCCAGAAGTTGGAGGGATGCTTTAATTAGAGCGGCTCGAAGAGCCGCTTTAACTAAAGTGCCCAGAACATCACATGTATCAGCATCCCCATACTGAAAAATGGCAGCAGGGACACTTTAACTAAACCTTATTGAATTAGCTTTAGTTAAAGCACCCCCATCACCATTTTTCAGTGCAGGGATGCTGATACACATGATGCTGGAGTCTGCTGGAGCATGGTAACTAATTACCACACTCCAGCAGGCTCAATTAATCAAGTCTGCTCTAACACGCTGTAATTACAGCCCATTAGAGCAGCCTCTTGACATGTGTATAGGCTCCGTATGCTCTTTAGTGAATGCATATTAATACAGGCTAATGTGCATTTTCTTAATACCTCACAATAGCGGTACTGGATTTAATGCACATCAACTAAAACACTAAAACACATTAATGTATATGTAGACACGCCACAAATATTTGTCTCCTCCTCCTACTCTAAGCCTCATGCCTTTTTTACATGTTCTTCCTCAACTATACAAAGTATGATAAAACTTCTCCTTCAACTTTATCTCAAAAGCTTTACTTTGCTTAGAGAAGCTTTTCATCACTAAACATATCCTCTTCTTCTCATGCCATGTTACTTATTCCTAACTGCTAACACATATATAAAAACATGCCGTTAAGAAAAATGTTCCAAAAGGAACTAGAGCTAGCAAGGAGGATGGCAAAGCACAAATAAACCAAAACTACAGTCATTTTTTCCTGTATTTTCCCTTTGTAGCCTGGTCCCTGTCCTTCATTGTGTCTTCAATATGTCTGATGTAGAGCTTGGTTTATAACTAGTTCTAGTATAGTGCAGGTAAGTAAGAGTGAAAAAATGCTCTTATTCTTCCCTATGTTGCGGTTAGTCAGATTTTGGTATCTGTGTCTAGGTTGGAGAGTGAGTGAGACACTGGGGCTAGGTATAGGCATTCAAAAAGCCTGAGGCAGAATTCTCAAACCTATATGGGTTTCTGTAAGTGGCAGAGGTTAGGTTGGGAACAAACAGAACAAAAGTTTGCCCCTTGCGGGGGGAGAAGGGGCAGGCCAAAATCAGCAGGTTGCGGGCACTCGAGCACCCCTCCCAGTGCAACTCATAGCCTCCCCAGGCTGCCAGAGATTGGCAAGTGCTGCCAAGTCAGTGACAGATATCTCCAACCTAGTCTGCTCCTTATCACTGGGGCTAGGGGGGCCACTGCAGTGCCATGAAGCTGGACACAGCCATGCATCCCTCCCCCCATCACCCATCAACATCAGCCACTGTGCTGACTTGGCTCTGTGAGAGCCCAGGGGGCAGGACTGATTGGGTAATTGGCTGCAGCAGCCAAGTACAAGGCAGCTTCCTACATGGGGGATCTACTGGGGGCCCACAGAGGCACCTGGGTTGCTAATGGACAATGATCTAAATTTATTCGTGAGCAGACCTGGTAAGGAAATTCAATTCACCAGTATAACCTAGATCAGTTAAGTCTGATACCACTCGATCCAGGTCTATCTTAAACTAGGATCTGCCAATTTTAAACTAGTCTATGTGCTCTGAAGTTCTTTTACTGGTATAGACCGGTTTCCAACCACCTAAACTGGAAAAAGGATAATGTCTGTACCAGGCCTGTAAGACTAGAAAGAAGGCCTTCACTGTCCACTGGTTAGCCGAGTTGGCTTAGCTATCACAGAAAGAAAATGATATCCCCTTTGCAGAGCAAGAAAAAAACGTTGCCAATCTCTGTTAAGATCGCTCCTGACATTCCTACTGGGGGAAAGCAACTTGTGAACTTCTCCCTGGGGGCTGGGTGCAAAAAGTATCTACTATCTATTGGATGGTAGCTTCTTGAAGCAGGAGCTCTTCATATACATCTGTAAAGCATGTAGTATACCTATGGAACTAGTGTACCAATAAATATATTGCTACAGCATGTCTGTTGGAGATACCTGCATGACCAATATTTTGTAAAATATCATCATTTTAATACCCATCTGTTTGTTCCACAGAATAAGGATATTTCCATTGCAATACTAGAGAAAGGAGGTCCCATATCTTTAGATGATTTGTGATTTCAGTGCTAAGTGTAAGCAACCTGTCTCCTTACTAAGGAGGTAGTGATGTTGCATTTTATATGTAAAATCTATAAATGCGTGCATGTATGTATAAATGCATGTATAAATATATATTCAGCTGCTTTTAATTTAAAATATGAACATTTGCACCTGTACATCGTGCCACAGACAGTTCTTCTTTATGATCTGTCCGTCAGTAGCATCAATATTTTACAACTCACCTTCTATGCTTAAATCTTTCTTGCTTTTGGATGCTGTGCATGTTCAGTGTGTAATAAGGAAACTGAATTACCTCTCACCCCTAGAGAAGGTGATCCCTCCAAATCAGCACTGTGGCTATTGGCAGGCAGTACACATCATTTGCATTGTGGCTGCTTGCACCTTGTTTGACCTACGTATGAATACTTCAATTCACCTGATCCCAACTGCTTGCCCAAACATTTCAGATATAAAAAAAAAGATAATTACTGCTGCTGCCTGTCACTGGCATAGCATCATTCTGGGGTATTTGTGAGAGCTTGTACAAAACAGCACTGTGTCTTAAACTAAGAGAGATAAAGAGTTAATAAACCCAGACCTATCCTTATTCCCTAACTACATGTGCGGGAAATAAAGAAAATACTTTCTTCTGGCAATAAATTAGCTTTCCCCCCTTTTGTTTGTTATTGCAGTCATGGTTCAAAGCCCTCTACAAAAACAAGGTCCCACTTTATTATAGGACAGTCAGGTTCAGCGCACAGCTTGCAATAAAGAAATTAGCAAACCAGAAGCTGCAATTCTGTAGAAACACTCGAAAACGAAGAGGATTTAAAGTGACAAGATCCAATTAAATTTAATTACCCAAGCTGTATTTTCATTTTAACTGACACTTTTTATTAAGAAGCCACATGCACTAAAGCTAGAAACCTGGGCCAAATTGCATCCCAGTAATACAGTTATCTTATGCAAAATTCTGAGTATCTAATTTTCTAAAATGAAATTAGAGACATGGGGTTTGTAAAAGGTTCTCTTTGTCTGATACTATAAGACCCTATTTGCAATGTCGCCATAGCACTGTACACCTTTGTTGTACTCACACCTGGTGTACCTAATAAAACTTATTATTTGCCAAGAGTTTCCAAATATAACAATTATTTTTTAAATGTGGGGAGAGTACAATGCAAACAAAGGAAACTTAGCATAGTAAGTCCTAGCCCTATAGAATATAATGTACAGTTTTAACAAATTTGATTTCAGGAAATTTTTCTCTGTTTGTATCTTCTAACTTTGTGGAGAAGCGACTACATAAGTGGATCAAACTATATATATTTTAAATCCTATTTTGTTTTTTCCATGGCAATATAGTATACAAAAAAGGATGTGAACAGCTATTTGCTATAACACCTGCAAAAGGCAGACTTTGGTATTATCAACTATAGGTATTGTCAAATATTTTTAAATAAGTATCAGAAACTAAGTTTGCAGTGTAGTGGAGTTACAGTTAAACTACCTCATGAACAGAAATAGAACCTGTATATATTAACAAAATATTTCAGGCCTAGCCTACAAAAAAGAAGACTTAATAGTTAATAAAAAAAAAATTGCCCAAACAGACTCTCTCAGACAAAATATGTAATTTCAGTAGAACAGGAAATGATAGTACGAGTTACATACACAGAAATAAACCTATACATACAGAAAATAATGTTTGCATAAATTAAAAGAAATAATCCTATAAGATGCCACTTTTCTACTTTCACCAAAGTTCTATGGTTTTATTACCTACATATGATATGGGGTATCAGTCTGTGCATCTATAAATTATGAATAATTGAAGTTGTTCATAAGGGATGATGAGATGGATATAGTAGTTTCTGTAAAGCAAGTAACATCATAGTACAGTCAAAGTGATGCCCAGCAACCACATGATTCCCAAACTCAGAGCACATGCTCTCAGTCCATTATTGGAAATTTGTGTTTCTTTCCTTGTGGAAAAGGGAATAGGTTTGCCCCTTAAAGGGAACCAGACACCAGAGTGGAGGCCCTGTGCCTTAGTACTGTTTTGTGTCCACCTTGGGCTCCCTAGCAGTGCAGTTCCTAAAGGTGTTGTTTTCTTGTTTATCTATTTAGACTATTTGAGAATGTATACCTATGTTTACTCCAAGGCCTAAAATGCCAGCCTCACTACTAACTATATGAAATTCTCTTGATAGGTCCTGGTTCTGCAAAGATATGGAGAACATGATATCAAAACTACCAGAAACTTCCTGGCAAACATCGTATTTTGAATGTCAAAAATTGTTTAATTCTCAGATACCCTGGAATAAATAAGTATGAAGAAGGAATGATGGAAATAATCATGGTAAAAAATGAATAAGTTTAAAGGTACTGCTGTACTGAAGGTCAGCTACACGTGAGTTCCAATTCCCACTAAAGTCAAAGGAGTGCCACAATTTTCAGAACCTGTTCTGATTCTTCTCCTAGTGCTGTCCATCACTTGCAATGTCTTCCCACCCTACCTTCAAATCTGCCTGAAATATGAACGGTTTGGAAGACATTAAATAACCAAAAGCTTCTTATTTAGCCAGCTAATGGATTCTTACTGATATGATGAAATAAGTGAGCCATAATAACAAGTATCAAGCAGGATGCAGGAAAGCAAAGACTTTTCTGTATGAATCATATTTGTATTAATGTTGTATTTTCCAGTTATTTGTTTTGGGAGCCACCCTTTTTCAGTCAGTGAAAATATCTTTTCAGTTTTCAGGTTTAGGAACAAATGAATAGTCTGAGCATCAGACTGCAACCAAATGTTTTTGAAGAATAAAATGCAACATTAAGTGAAAAACAAGCTACGTTAGGGTTCTATCTGGAGCATATAGTGAATGGCATTAGAAGCAAAGGTGTTAGAAGAGTTAGAAACATGAAAGCAAACATGAAGTATCAACTGATGTTGATTATAAAAAAAAATAAAGGACAGTCCAGTGCAATCTGAAAGCTTTTTTGTAGCCATGATATCAGTTCTTGGTCTCAGCCTAGTTTGTAATGTCAGGTTGACCAGCATAACTTCCATGTTATTTCTGCATATACTGGTATCAGCTGAAGGCCCCAGTTAACACTGGGGTCCTCTAGACAGATTACCTATCCCGATGGCTTTTGCAGGTGTGGTTTGGCCCCTGAAGAACTCCTCAGCCAGTTCTCCTAGATAACACAGTCCTTAAATAATGCTCATAGCCTGAGAATATATTGGATGACATTTTGAGACTTCATACCCTACATCTCTTAGGCATTATGAGGAGGTCCAGTATAGCTCGGTGCTGCCTTCTATATAAAAGTTCAAAAGGCAAAAACTCTACGAAGGATTGGCAAACCTCTCAGATAGCAAATAGCAAGTAGAGAAATACATCCCACTTTTGGTTCTGCTGCCACAGGTTTTTCAACATGACCTTCAACATCCAGTTAAAGCTCTCTATCAGACTATCCATCTGAGGATGGTAGTGTCAGGGATGCTGATCAGGCAGACCAGCTTGAGCCCAGTGCTGTCAGGGACTCTGGGCAGGCAGGCCAGCCTAAGCCAAGTACTGCAGCAGCCACACCTGCAGCAAACCTCAGCTAATTAACTCAACCCAGGTTTAGGATCAGCAAGCATCCTAACTGGCTGCTAGGAGCACCACCTATCCATTTAGCACCAGCTGAGGCCCTGGGCCTACATGCCAGTCAACAGTTGGCAAGCGTCCTGGTCCCTGACCCCGGTTTTTAGTTTCTCTCTGCAAACTCACTCCCAGGGCCTCACAAGCTATAGTGGCCAAAATTGTTCCAGAGTAATCAATACCATGATCTCAGTGCCTGAGTGGGACCCTGGTTTCAGCCATCAGCTGTACAAGCCTTTGAGATGATGTGCATCTGCTCAGGGCCAGGAGTCTGCGTTAAATGGCTCTTTCCAGAACAGTGTTGGTATGCCTCTTCAGTGAGCTCTATGCAGTCAAATATGGCGGCCTTGAGGGTGTCAATCTCATGCGGCCTCAGCTCCCAGAGCCTGGTGGGCTATGTGAACTGCCTCTGCTATAGGAGAGGCTTGGTTAAGGGCCCACTGAT